GAGAAGCATGGAATAAAGTATTGCCGGAGTCGGATTCTTGATTTGGAACTAGAGGCGTACAGGAACCGGCCGTATTTCTCTGGATCAATTCGGTCTGGAAATTATTCGGAGATCGTAAAAGACTCCTATTATTTGGAGTGAGGAGTGAATGAAGAGAGATATTGAATTTGGTTCAGCGTGGGGCATTACATACATATCTATTTTGTGTACCTTTTCAAAGAGAAAAATGTTTTTGATTCAATACATATTTCTGAAATAAACGTAAGGAGAACATAACAAATTTGCCGGAGTCAGATGTGTAAAGAACGATGATATAGCATGGATTACGGAAAAATACGGCAAGATCCGGCCAGGCACCGGAGCTAAAAAAGTATCTATACCTTTTCAATCATAGGCTTTTCAACACAATTCATGTCCAAACGCCAATTTAAAAAATGTTTGAGTTTCTCAGCGTCAAATTCTTTTTGATTTTTTGAAAATTTGTTAAAGTCAACTTTAACTGTTTCAAAGTCCAAGAATTTAATTTCTTTAAAATTCGGATAAAGCACAGCCATTAACTTTAAAGACAATTTCAATTCCTCCAACTTTTGTGTACTAACAATCTCCAAAAAAGAATGTGTATCATATTCTTTTAATGTTTTGTACATTAATGTTGCAATATACAAAGGTTTAGTAAGCAAAAAAGATCGAAGAAGATTTTTATAATTTTCTGAACCTTCATTCAATTGGAAAATTCCTTTAAATTCTGGTTGTTTATTTAAATGTTCAGTGTCTGAAATTTGTTTTTTATGTTTATTTTTAGTTTTTATTTGAATGAAAAATCCATCAACACATTCAATATAAAACCATAAATGACTTTTAGCTTCATCTATCGCTTCCTTCTTTGTTTTGCTAATAAGAACTATCTAAATTTTTTAATTTTTTTGAAACTTGATATAAATTTTCGTTTAGATTAAGTAACCCTTATCTTTTAAATCCTCTAAAAACATTTTTAGAGGCATTCAGCTTTTATTTTAATCCTATATAATTTTTAATGAATAGAATCTCAAATATCCTAAATTTCTTTCAATCGTGTTACCTAATTATTTATTAATCAGTATTTGTATTAGAGACGGGTACCGACGGCATTATGCTCTAGGATTTGCAGGTTATTCCTGTGGAATCCTTAAAAAAGTTTATAAAAGTTCTCGAATGATTGATCCTGCAAATGAGATTTAATCGGTTTCTAATTTGATACAATTGGAGCCAAAAAATTCAATAATACAAAATCTTATCGACCATTTGTTAGAATAAAAACGTCATTCTATTTAAAACAAAGTTTAGTTAATACTCGAGTAAAAACATGCCGTAATTGGATCATTAATTTCCAGTCTGACGATTCTTTTAGAATTTATACAAAAAGCAGAAATTCCTTTAAATCGGGCCAAATCATCAAAATTAGCCATTTCATTCAGAAATGTATTGACACATTTTTCTGGGTCAAAACAATTTTTGGCATTGTTTAGAGTTGAAGTAATTTGTTGAATTATATTTTCATCTATTGCCTCAATGTTGGAAGAAATGTCTTCTTCGATAGAGCAAAATACTTGTTTAGAGTAAATTAACAAAATTAATTTTAAAACAAATAGTTTTAACATTCCTTTGACTTTTTAAAATTTAATTAATATAAAATGAATTAATTCTAACTAATTCGACGCTTGCTTTATAACCAGTCCAGACATCCTTTCCTCTTTATTTTACCCTGCATCTTCACTCCTCTTTTATTTATTTCATCACCCCATCTTCCTTTATTACACAATTAAACTCGTGAGTTCTAACTCGAGTAATAACCCGTGTTTTATTGATGTAGTATTAAGAGTTATGTAGTATTAAGACATTTTATAAAGAGAGTGCATGCCGCTATGGCTCAGTGTAGTAGCTCAGGACATGCGCCCCAGAGGACATGCGTCCCATGAGATATGAGACGCATCTCCATAGCTCATATCTGTGTCACGACAGTCCTTGCTTGAGCCATGTGCTTGAGCCATGCAGAGCAATTTGGATCAGGTCTAATATTTAGTATTCCTGTGCCAGGTTCAGTTGCTACTGGAGAGCAACTTTACTATATGCGTTTTGAAGGTACTTATCTGCTCTATTTTAATAAAGCGGTGGGGTATGATTCCGTGCGCACGATTCCGTGCACACAGTTCCGTGCCAGTTATAAAGGACACGTTTCCGTGCCTTTCTTCGAAATATGGTGAAAAACAGGTCTTTTTTCGTGTAATTTTTTAGTTTACTACTTTCTACGTACTAAAGAACAGTGGCTGGATCCTACTCAAGATTTTTCTTGGGAGTTTTCGGTCTTAGGGTGAAGCTGTCACCTCAAATCGGTCTCTGCTTTTTTTCTTAGTGGAATAAAATTTATTAAACAAAAAATTTTTTAAACAAAATTTTAAATTAAAAACTAGTCAAATATTCAAAATTTATCAAAAAATAAATAAAATCATTGTCCTCGTTTCACTTATTAAATATTTGGCCCTAAGGAGGGCCGTCCGGGTTTCTGAATTATAGTTTTCCTCGACTGCATTGTGAATGGAGCTGATAAAAAAAGTTGATAAAAAAGCTGACACCTCAAAGCTGTCACCTCAAATTCGCATAAAGGTAATTCAAAGGGTAATTGAGCACGGAAACGTGTTTTTTATAACGGACACGGAAACGTGCCCTTTATAACTGGCACGGAAACGTGTGCACGGAATCGTGCTTACACGGAACCATGTGTGTCTTCCCGTCAATAAAGGGCTAGGGAATATGATATACTTACCTATTTTAAATCATGTTATAAGTCGATGACTGTTGGGAATGACTTGACGAACGTTTAAAGAAGGACTTTAAATGTTTAGCGGAAGATTGATGAGATGTGATATACATATTCAAGTCTCGATAGCTCAGTCGGAAAATAATGTTGTAATTATCAATGCAAATGTTTTATTCGTTCCTCCTCGCCATTTAAATTGAGGATATACATACATATAATTTTAGTTTGATTATTTATTGTTGAAAAACAAAAAAATATCCGCGCATATCTTACTTTTAATAAAAATTTTATTACATTATTTCAGCGCCGCTGGTAACAGCCTTTTTTAGAGCTGTTAAAAAAGGCTGTTACCAGCGTTTTTTAGAGCTGTCTTTCCCCAAAAGTCGGGGAATTTTGAATAAATCACAGTTCAACTTTTGAAAACTATAATTTTCACATTGTCGATTTATTTTAACATCAATTTTAATAATATTTTTTAAATAATTTTTTAATAAAATTATTTATTATAAAAATTTTTTTACGATTTAAAAGGGCATTATTATGTAATATTCTTTCTAAATTAATATCCTGTGTAATTACAAAGGTTATTAATTTTTAGCGGAAGGGGGAGGATAAAATGAAGGAAGGGGACGAAAGTGCATCTATAAAACAGACTTAGAATTAGACAACCCTACATCAATTTATTGTTAAATTTCATTAAATTTTAAAAAGTCAAAGGAATGTTAAAACTATTTGTTTTAAAATTAATTTTGTTAATTTACTCTAAACAAGTATTTTGCTCTATCGAAGAAGACATTTCTTCCAACATTGAGGCAATAGATGAAAATATAATTCAACAAATTACTTCAACTCTAAACAATGCCAAAAATTGTTTTGACCCAGAAAAATGTGTCAATACATTTCTGAATGAAATGGCTAATTTTGATGATTTGGCCCGATTTAAAGGAATTTTTGCTTTCTGTATAAATTCTAAAGGAATAGTTAGACCGGAAATTAATGATCCAATTACGGCATGTTTTTACTCGAATATTAATTAAGATTGTATTCCTCGTTGAAAGTAGATTGAAGGCCGTTTAGAATATTTAATAAATTCTTGGGTCATTCCAGAGTTGAATTAGTATTTGGGTACAAATGTATACATAAAAGTAGAGACTGATATACATAATGGCATTTTAGGATAATCAGGGAGATTTTTAAAAAATTCTTTAAGTGACCCTACAAGAAAACCTTCAAATTCCGTTGCGCCCTGTCACTAATACAAATACTGATTACTAAATAATTGGGTAACACGATTGAAAGAAATTTAGGATATTTGAGATTTTATGCATTGAAAATTATATAGGATTAAAATAAAAGCTGAATGCCTCTAAAAATGTTTTTAGAGGCATGTTTTTTACGGCATGTTTTTACTCGAATATTAATTAAGATTGTATTCCTCGTTGAAAGTAGATTGAAGGCCGTTTAGAATATTTAAAACCAATAAACCTAGGGGTTATTCCAGTGTTGAATTATTTGGTTACAAATGTATCAAAGTAGAGACCAATATACATAATTGCATTTTAGGATTTAAAAAAGATGTTGAAAGGACCCTGCAAGAAAACCTTCGAATTCCGTTGCGGGATATAATCCCGTATCAGTCAACGAGTAATTCCGAAATATAGGGTAACAAGTTTGGAAAAATGTTGGGACATTTGAAATTGAATAAATTAAAAATTCAAAAAGATTAAAATAGATATGAATAAGGCTAATATTTATTTTGTTGATAAATACATAGAAAATAGTCGCCCACTAAATTTTATTGAAAATTTCATAGAAATATATATCGAGTTTCTAAAGAATTTTAATTAAAATTTAGATCGTTCTTAATAGCAAAACAAAGAAAGAAGCGATAGATGAAGCTAATCGTCATTTATGGTTTTACATTGAATGTGTTGATGGATTTTTCATTCAAACAAAAACTAGAAATAAACATAAAAAACAAATGTCAGACAAAAACAATTTAAATAAACAACCAGAATTTAAAGGAATTTTCCAATTGAATGAAGGTTCAGAAAATTATAAAAATCTTCTTCGATCTTTTTTGCTTACTAAACCTTTGTATATTGCAACATTAATGTACAAAACATTAAAAGAATATGATACACATTCTTTTTTGGAGATTGTTAGTACACAAAAGTTGGAGGAATTGAAATTGTCTTTAAAGTTAATGGCTGTCCTTTATCCGAATTTTAAAGGAATTAAATTCTTAGACTTTGAAACAATTAAAGTTGACTTTAACAAATTTTCAAAAAACCAAAAAAAATTTGACGCTGAGAAACTCAAACAATTTTTAAATTGGCGTTTGGACATGAATTGTGTTGAAAAGCCTCTATTTGAAAAGGTACAAAATAAATATGTAGTGCCCCAAGCTTTTCAGGAGCTTTTGACCTTCAGATCATTCCTCTCTACCCACTATCTCCCCACACTCACTCCAAATACCAGGAGTCTTTCACAATCTCCGAATAATTTCCAGACCAGATTGATACAGAAAAATCCAGTCCGCAACTAGTTCCAAATCCAAAATCCGACTCCGGCATATCTTTTTATACCATACTTCTCCTTACTTTATTTTAGAGATATTAAGTCTAAAACATTTTCTTTTTAGCCCAAATTTGTCGAATGGATCTATAATTCAACGAAGAATTTTCTGTATAATAAATGTACAGACAATCCTCCTCCAAATCTCAACGACTACATTGAAATAGTGGAAAATAAAAACAAACGAAACGATTTTTTAATTTTTCGTTTAAAGTGTTTTTTAGAGAAAATTGAAGAAAAATCCTCCTCCAATAACGATAAAAGAATGGTTACAGATAAATTAATTAAAATTTTAATTTTATCTAATTTTGTTGGAGAAAATGTAACTGATAAAATGAAACCCGAAGAAAAAAATAAACTTGTTGAAACAATTAACAAAACTAATTTTAATCTTACTGGGTGGAATGATAAAATATTTAAATACTCACTGAAACTTTTGTTGAATTTAAGTAAATGTTTATTTTTACGTTAAAGACCCCGGAATCGAACCTTCAAGACGCCCAATATCTCACTGCTAGCCTAAATCTCTTTAATTAGGGTAGGGGCTGAGTTTACGGGAAACGGGGGTGCGGGGAATTAGTGTTCTGGGAACTCAATTAATTAGTAATTGTACGAGGTTTGAACGGTGGCTATGGGGGAGACTCCACAGGTTCCGCGCGCATTTCCTGCCACGGGGAACGGAGACCGAACCCTATCCTTAATTTAGAAGGATTCGGGGATTGCTAAAAATTAAAAGAAACCAGTCAATTCAACAAAACCTCAATTAATTTTTATAAAATTTACACAGAAAATACTCCACTTTTAATTTCCTACAATCAATTCATTCAAAATTATGGAAAAATCGTTGAAATATTTACAAATATTTTAACAAAACATGAAAATATAATTAACTTCCAATATTTGAAAATAAAATTAAAATTAGTTGGGAAGGAATATTTAATCAAATTAAAAAAAGTAATGTCAACGGTTATTCAATTCTTTTACATTTTATTGAAAATATAAATGAGAAAATTGAAGGGCAATTTTATCAAATATTTAACAAGTAATTAATTAATTGTTTAAAATTACCGTAAAACTTTTATTAACTACCCTTGGTAATTATTGTTTCGACCTTCCGCTTGAGGAAGCAATTAATATCGACGGGGGTAATTATACGAGGTTTGAGATTTAAACGTGTTTTAGGGCATTTGATGAGGGGGGGGGGTAAAATTATTGTTTCATTCTATCGCTGGATGGGTAATTAATGGAAGTGGGGTAATTATTTGAGGGAAGGTAATTAATTCAGGTTATACGGTAAACACCTTAAAAAGGATTACACTAGTTGTTTAACCTTAATTGAGGTAAAAAGGGAAATTTAAGTTCCCTCACAGAAAATTAATTTTTCTTTTTTACCTTTTAATAAAAATTACAAATTGGTAGAGGGATTCTAAAATGTGGGTAGGGTTGGCGGATCCGGATATCCAATCCTATATTTGAATTTAATGTTTTTGATAAACTTTTACTGATTATTTTTAATTTAAAAAAAGATTAAAGAAAACTGAAGAATTTTCTTATAAAAATTTGTTTAAAAAATCAACAAAAGGAGAAGAAATATTCCAACAAAATCTTTCAAAATTTTTTTCAAATTTTGTTCAAGCAAAATATTTTGCTTTAGCTTTGGCATTAAAACAAATAGTAATGGTGGAAGAAGAAGAAAATATTTCAGAAATTTTAAAAAATGGAAATTTAATTAAATTGGATATTTCTGAAGAAGAAATTAAAAAAATAAAATTAATTGAAGGAAATTTTGTTTTGATAGAGAATTTAATGAATAAATTATTTGTTAATGAAATGTGTAATTTAATGATTTTAGAAAAAATTGGTTATGACAAAAATGAGTTTAAATTAAATTTGGAAAAGGAAATGAGTAAATTAATGTTGGATTTGGACTTTAAATGTGAATATTTTTTAAATTTTGAGTTGATTAAAATAATTGAGTGAAACACTCATTATGTTTGGGGCTTGTCCGAGATTTACCAAAGTTGATGAGCACATCCATAAAAGGTTAAGATCACTCTTGTTAGGAATCGAAGCTGGCATCAAATTAATAAGCTAGACTTCTAAGTTTTCTAACTTCGACTCGGGATAGGTATCGAGTTTTGAATTTTACGAAGGAATAGGCATGAAAGTCAGGGTCGGGAATCCCCGTATCCGGGTATCAGCGTAGGATAAATTTTGATTTCTTTAAAAACAGTGTGTAATTTAATGAATTAGAAAAATATTTAACATAAAATTTTCCTTTAAATTTTTCAGTGAGTGGAGATTCAGATGAGCATTTCAAGCCAGAATATATCAATTTTAGAGCAATTCAACTTTTTGGAGGGAATGGAGGGAACAAAACTTTAGTTGAACGTTTAATCGAGAAAATATTTAATTATTTAACAAGTCCAATTAATTGGATTGGAAAGAAAGCATTAAATAGTAAAAATAAAATATTTGGTCAAATTTATAAAAAAATAAATTTAATTATGGAAATAATTAATTCTTTTGTTTTGAGAAAAACTCTTTTAGAGAATTTGTTTATTCCTCTCTTTTATTATCAAAAAATTTATGGAAAAAATTTGACAGAAAAAATGGGGAATTTATTAAATAATTTCCGAAAAAACGATTTAAAAGAGGAAAAAACTTGGATTAAAATTAGAAAAGATTTTGGAAATTTATTTGAAGAAATTGAAATTTTTGTTAAAATTTTGAAGGAAGGAAATGATAATGAGGAAATGTTGAGTGAAATGAAAAAAGAAGGGAAAATTGTTAAGGAAAATAAAAATTATTTTTTAAAATTTTTTGAAGAAATTAATTTAAAAGAAATGTTTTTTAAATCATTTAAGAATAATTTTGGAAAAGATGAAGAAAAAGAAGAAAATGTTGTTGTTGATTGGTTAAAAATTAAAGAATGTTTTGGGGGAGAAGTATTTTTATTTTAATTAATTAAGGATTTTAACGATTTAAATAAAAATTCTTAATCAAATTTTTGTTCATTTTTAGAACACTTCAATTTCTAATTCAATTCAATTAATTCGAAAAAAACGACATTATTACAAAGATATTAGTGATTATAATATGGCTGATAAGGTGGTGTTTTTTATCTTTGTATATCTTGGCTTTGGCGGTTTTGTTGGTATATTCGGATCAACTATCTTGGTTGCGATGATTTTCGACGAAGTTAAATGTCCAGTGCCAGTTATTCATTTATCAGAAATTAATTTGCCTGAAATTCGTCTACCAGAATTTTTACGAAGAAGAGATCAAAATCCTCCTCCTCCTCCCCAACAACAACAACCTATCAGAAATCCTCATACTGGAAATGTTGTTACTGATCCAAATGAATTATTAGAATTGGGATATCAACCTAGCGATCCTGTTCGATATGATAATTATGGTTCCCATTATGGCCAACAGACTCGTTATCGCCGGGGGATAAAGGATAATCAGAAAGGTTGGTTTTTATTTTACTCAGTGCGCTTAGACAGTTCCTTGTCATATTCCTTGTTACAAGCTATATCCGAGATATAGCTTGTGACGACTAAAAGTCGGCTAAAAATGAGAGCCGGGATTCGAAATCGAGATAATAAAAAATCGAGAATACTGATAACCAACAACCCTAATTTAATATTCCTTTTTTTAATAAAGAATGTCGCTTCAATGAATTTGCAAACAATGGAGATAGTTGTCCAAACATTTCTTTTCCAATTAGTTTCCATAAAGATGATGAAAAGACTTCAATCTTTTATTTAACAAAGAATGGATGTTTTGATAATTTAAAAAACGAAAATAAAATTCGAAAGAAGCGAGATATTATTGAGTTTGTTTGGATTGAATGTGGAGATTTTATTATAGGCGTTTGGTTTATTTTAGCTTTGATTGGATGGATTGTTGGTGCAGTTTTTCTGGGAATTTACTTTTGGCATTGAGCTAGTAATGGTAAAAACGTTGTTTATTTTTAGTTATCATAAAAAATGAATTTTTAAAGATTCTATAGTATAAACCAGGGCTCCGATTCGTACTTTATTTGAAAGTACAGTACTTTAAAATTGACCTTCGTACTTAAGAAATTGAATTTGTACTTTATTGAAAGTATGTACTTTAAAATCAACTTTTGAAAAAAATGGAAGAAATCTGGCTTAAGGACCTCCAAAATTCTCAAAATTTTCGCCTGCGGCGCAAAAAATAGAAGATTTTGTGGCACCATAGGCGCCACAAAAAAGCGCTTTGAAATGCACGAAATGCTCAATAGAAACAAGAAATTATTAGAAAAGATTAATTTATGAGAGAAATATAAAAGATTTGAACACGAATAAATATTTTCTAATTTAATTTGGAGTATACTTTAAATTTGGAAATTTAGTCCCTATGTCCTTTAAAATCGAGATTTTTGTACTCTAGATTGGAATTCTGTCGATCGGAGCCCTGGTATAAACCATATTTTTATACTATAGAACATTTATAGTATAATATAAACACAACTCTCTTTTAGTGGGTCTACGTATACAAAAGTAAGAAAAGACAAAATATATTTAGATAAAATAATTATTACCACCTTATATAACTTTTTTAATAGACCTAAAGCACTTAAAGGAAAATTAAATTTTTTTATTTGTTACAGTATATGTTATGGCCCGGGAACTAATTTCAAAGTTCCCGATGTCAATAAAGCCGGAGTGAGGAGAATACTCATAACTGTTTGCTACCAAATAAAGATGATTTATTTATTTTTTATTTTTAAATTTTTCTTTACTTTTCCTCTAAATTACCTGTAAAGTTATAGTAAAGGAGTGCAAAAACTTCATCTCATAACTGCTAAAATTTAACCAGTTTAAGCAGATTTTTTACATAAAGTTGAAAAGAAAATTGAGAATAATTTAGGAAATTCTTTTAAAAACAAAATAACAAGAATCCAGTCTTTTTCGCACTCCATTATTAGTTAGAACACTT